CGTGGAGATGTACACTGAATCCGCCAGTTTTATCTCCCACTCTGGCCCTCTCCCTTTGTCCGCCTGGCGTTTATAGTCCTCCTTGGTCTTTGCCAGAGTCTTTTGGAGGACAATCCACTCTTGGGTCACCCAGGACCACCAGGACTGGGCTTCGTCGGTGCCAGGCTCCTCTGAGTTCATGGTAGAGAGGGGGCCCTCTTCATAGCCATGAACCGCTTTAAAGGGGGACATTCCAATGGAGCTGTGAATAGAATTATTATAACTGTATTCCGCAAAAGGGAGTAGGTCCACCCAGTTGTTCTGTTGATAGTTGACAAAGCACCTCAGGAATTGCTCCAGGACTTGGTTGGTCCATTCCGTTCGGCCATCCGTTTCCGGGTGGTGGGCGCTACTTAATCCCTGCTCCACCCCTAGTAATTCCAACAGTTCCTTCCAAAACCCCACTACAAACTGTGAGCCTCGATCGGAGATTATTTTGTGGGTTAGGGCGTGGATTCTAATTATGTGCTGCATGAACATTTGGGCCAACTGACGCGCTGTGGGCAGCTGCTTCCAGGGGATGAAGTGTGCCTGCTTTGAGAACAGATCCACTACCACCCAGATTAGTTTTCCCATGGCTTGGGGGCAGGTCAGTGATAAAATCCATAGAAATAATGGACCATGGTTGATCCGGGGTCTCAAGTGGTTGTAAGAGACTGGGGTTTTTCCCCATCCTCCTTTTCCCCCATCAAGCACATTTGGCAGGAGGCCACATACTGGGAAATGTCCCCCCTCATCCGAGGCCACCAGTATTGTTCAACGTTTTTAGATAGTCGAAATGCCCAGCCAGTTTGTTGTCATGTCCCAGAGATAGAATCTCCCCCCGCAGTGCTTGCGGAACAAACAGTTTGTTCTGTTGGTATCCACAGCCACCCTCCTTTTGCACCAAAGTTCTGTCTTCAATCTCCTCTTTATCAGAGTCAGTGAGAGCAGACTTGAATTTCTCAGCCCAAGGCACCCCCCCCCAGCACAGACCCCTCCGCCTGACTACGGGTGACTGGGTGGGCGTGAACATAGTGTCCTCTTCTCATTGGCTCGTGTGTTGTGGGAGGGGAGACAGAGCTAGGAAGTTCAACTTCCCAAGGAGGTGCTTCAGGGTGAAACGAAACTTACAGAAAAACTCCACCCACCTTAACTGTTTTGTGTTGGTGCCGGGGGTTTTTCAGAGGTTCGAGGTTTTTGTGATCAGTCCAGACCTCAAATGGAACTCTAGATCCCTCAAGCCAGTATCGCCAAGTAGTTAGAGCTAGTTTAATTGCAGCAGCTTCTTTGTCCTACACAGCCCAGTTCCATTCAGTGTTTGAGAACTTTTTGGAGACATAGGCCAACAGATGCAACTTTCCATCCTCCCCCTTCTGCAGGATTGCTCCCCCCATGACCACGTCCGAGGCATCCACCTGTACTATAAATTGCTCAGTCTCATTGGGGTGTTGCAAGACTGGCTCGGATGTGAACAAAGTCTTTAGCCGCTCAAAAGCCTCCTGGCACTCAAGGGTCCATAATAACCGGCTGCTTGGCTTTTGGCTTTCTGGGCCCTTCCCTTCGACTTTCAATAAATAGGTAAGGGGGAGGGTGATCTAGGCAAAGTTGGGGATGAATGGGCGGTAGAAATTGGCGAACCCCAGGAAAGACTGCAATGGACATCATGGGGGTTCCCATCCCACCATATCTTGAACCTTCCAGGGAACCACACCCAGTCCCTTCCTGAATATGCGATACCTCAGGAAATCCATCTTCTCTGTATGGAAATCGCATTTAGAAAGCTTGGCAAACAGGCAGTTCTCATAGAGGGCTTTCAGGACATCACACACCAGCCTCACATGTGACTCCTTATCTTTAGAATAAATCAAGATACCATCTAGATAAACCAGGGCCCCTTTGTAAAGGTACTTGTGTAAGACTTCATTAATCAAACTCATGAACACCCCAGGTGCCCCTGTCAATCCGAAGGGCATCACCCAATACTCGAACTGTCCCAGGGATGTGTTAAACGCTGTTTTGTACTTGTCCCCTTTCTTGATGTGTACCTGAAAGTAGGCATCTCTCAAGTCCAATTTGGTAAAAACCCGACCTTGGGAAGCCTCGGCCAATAAGTCTTTTATAAGGGGGAGGGGGTAAGCATTAGACATAGACACTGCATTCAGCCCCCTGTAATCTGTGCACAGTCTCAACCCCTGTCTTTTTTCTTGCGGAAGAGTACGGGGGCAGCAAATGGAGGGGTTGCTAGCCAGATGAACCCCTGGGCCAGGTTTTTGTCAATGAACCTTCACAGCTCCGCCTTCTCGGCAGGGCTCATGGAGTAAAGTTTCCCTTTGGGCATTGGTGCCCCGGCAGGATCTCTATTGCACAGTCAGTTTTGCAGTGGGGAACTCATCCGCCTCCTCCTCAAAGACTGGGGCCAGGTCCTGGTACTCCAGGGATATTAGGTTTAGTTCTTCTCACGCTTGGCAGACCCGTTCTACCACGGGGTGGGGCTCTTCCCTCTAATCGGGATCCCATTGGTGGTTCTTACATCGGAGGTCTAGGAAGGTTAGGGTCCCAGCACTCCACTGTCTGTAAGGGTCAGGAGTCTGAAAGCCAGGGACTCCCAAGCACCATGGTAAATGTAGCTGCGGGGTTAACCACAAAGAGCGCAGCTCCCAGTGCGAGGCTACCCCCACCGGCAAAGGGATGGTGCAGTAGTGGCACTCCCCCCCCATTGGAGTCCCACCCATTTGGGAGAACACTATGGGCTCCTTTAGTTTGTGCACCTTAGCTCCCAAGCCTATGGCTGGGTTAATCATGCCCCTGGTGCAGCCTGAATCGATCAGGGGCTGCTCTTGAATGTGCCCCCCCCCGGTTAATCATGGTACCAGTCAAAGAAAAGAGGAAGGGAAGGGGGTCTCACCGAATCTTGCACTGACGGTTGTCGGACCTGCGGGCTGGCGCTCTTCACAGCAGGTTCTGGCCTTTACCGCCAGTAGATGTTCCTCTCCATCGCTGGACAAGGTGCCTTCCAGGTCGTCGTGGGGCCCCGACTACAGAGCTTTGGAGGGCTTGGGCTTCTTCTCCGGGGTCTCTGGTCTTTTCCCCTTGGTCTCTTCAGTCTCTCGGGGCTCCTCTCTTGGGGACAGGCAGCAGGGAAGTGCCCTGAGCCCCCAAAACGCAGGCAGAGACCTAAGCGCATCTGGTGGTCATGGTCTCTCCTCGTGCTGGTGGCCCGGGTGGGTTTTGACCCCCCCCGGTACCTTTCCCGGGGTCTTCGGGTAGTATATCCACACCAGGTTGAGGCAGTTTTCAGTTTCAAAGGCCACCTGGATCCAGCCATTCAGAGTGAGGGGGTTGCCTTGTGCCAGTGCCTTCTCCAAAATGGTTGGGTTAAGGCCTCCACAGTAAAACTCGATGAGCACCTCCTCGGGCCCACCTTGTAGCTTGGTGGCGTCTGTCTTGAACTCATCTGAGTTCTCGCAGACTGTATAAGACCCTTGCTTAATTCCTTGAATACGGGTCCAAGCTCTCTCCAGCTCTTAACGGGTCTTCATACTGCCGTTGTTGGGCCTGCATGAATGCATCTACATCACATAGCTCCGGGGCTCCCACATTATACAGCCCCACGAACCAGTCAGCTGCGCAATTTCGCAGCCGAGCCCCCACATAATCTACCCAGTGATCGTCGGAAGCGAAGGTATGGCCCCATTCCCAGAGGAACTTCCGCACCTGGATAGCAAAGACTGCCAGCTTCTCTGGAGTGCCATCAAAAGTCGCTCTAAGGCCTGTTTGGGGCAATCCGGTCCCTGCACCGGGGCTGGTGGGCCCACCGGCCCATCTGGAGGGGGGAGGAGGCATCTGCTCTGGTTCTGCCTCCTCCTCTCCATCACTTGGCTCTTTCTCCATGAGCTCCCAGACGACCACCGGAAGATTTTGAATCAACATCTGGATGCCCTTCTGGAGCTCCTCAACTTCTCCCCGGATCTCTGCTTGGAAGCATTCTGCACTCTCGTCTTCGTTCAGTGCCCCCGTCACTCGCAATCTCTCAGGGTCATTACCGAATGTGCAAGAGGTTCTTCTCCATTCTAGGTTGGGGTGAGTCTTCTTGCCTCGTTGCCCCAGGGTGCAGAGCCAGGCTGGGTCTTCCCACCTGCCTGGGCAGGGGAAAGCCTCCTTGAGCTTTGCAGTTTTCCCACAGTTCCCATCTTGGTCTGCGTGCCGTCGCCTTTCTGGTCAACTGGATTGGGGATCAGAATCTCAGTCATCGTGACGGTCCCTGTCCCCATCGTGATTTCTTCACCTTCGCTTGTCATCATTTCTCGATGCAGCAATCGAAGAGAGGGAGTTCTGACACTATCAGACCCCTGGTCAAGAGACTCTCAACAACGCAGTGATTTGTTTACTGAGATAACTGCATGGTCCAGGTGGAACAGTACCATGTCAGAACTTAGGTTCACACGAGAAATCCCATAGTTATAGACAATTCAAAGAAAAGTGCACCAATCACACATTGGCAACCTTTCACACTCCCAACCCCTGGGAATAGGGAATATATAGTTCCCTTATCTATGAAAGTGAGAAAAGCACAGCTTTGACTTCAAGGTTGTCCCTGGCATTCAGGGAGGTATCTTGGAGGAAGAGTTACAGCCTCTACACTCACCCCCGCCCCAGCAATTTCCCATCCCCCAGACATCATGGTGAACTAGAGACAGAGTTTGACATGAGGATTAGTTTGACATGAGGATTACTGGGCACTGGAATCAGATTTTACCTTCCTCCATTTCAAAGGGGAAAAAAATATATCAATGGTGAAGACTGACCACCAAGATGGAAGGAGTGCAAACCTGAGAAGTGATCCCACAGCACAGTGGGATGCTGAAAAAGCAGAAAATCCTTATTTTGCATAAAAACAAGAAGACTCATTACTCAAAACCAAGCATAGCAGCTAAGTCTCTGAAATAAGCATCACAAACCACCTGAGACAAGCTTCTTACCTTCAGCATATAGCACTGGATTGCCGATTTTACCGCCTACCGCATCAGCAGTTTTCACAACATCTAAATCCATCAAGACAATCACTCTCCTGCAAAGACAAAAAAATTAGTTTTTATTATTGACACCTACTTGCTTTTTAAAGCCCATGAACTGGAAATGCAAACAATATGCAGGCTCTTGGGTTCTATTCATTCAATCACCTTTGGGAAGACAGATGGGAACAAAAGCTCCATAAACTGTCAGGAGCATAAGCTGTTCAAATACAAACAAGCATAAGTAGAAAACACTGAGCCAATATGGCACTTCAGTGGTGCTTGCAGACTGGCACAGTATGTGCAAGTTTCAGATGAAAAAGCACTATCAAGACTGCTATTCTTTCAGCATTTTGTAGAGAACATGCTGTTTTCTTTTCAGGATGTAGCTTGCATCTTTTTTTTAAAAAAAATCATTTTTTATTTAACAATAGAAACAATTAAAAAGAAACCTATAACTACAGTGAGTATCCACTCCCCTCCCACCCAGGGCCGCCAGGTCTCCTGTTACAGAGGATTACCCCCATTTCACCCACTCTTCAAAGGCTGGCATCATGTGACTTCAATCACAATATGCAAAGACGCTCTTAGGATTCATCCAAAACTCTATGGTTTAACCATATAGGCTTATGTGTCCCTGATATAATGAAACAAGACAAATGTGGACAAACACAACCTAATCAGAGAACAAGTATAAAGAAAACAGTTGTGAAAGTCTGTCTCACAATTCAAGCAATCAACAAGACTTGCAAAGAAAATGCTTACTATGTATTACAGTCTGAAGCATTACAACACAATAAATCAATTCCTACAAATCATAAGAAAATCCTAATGTAAAGGTACGTACATCATCGTCATCTCCAGATTATATAACAATGTTTCAAAATTGAACATAAGAACATAAGAGACGCCAATGTTGGATCAGGCCAAAGGCCCATCCAGTCCAACACCCTATGTCACACAGTGGCCAGAAATACCAGGTGCCATCAGGAGGTCCACCAGTGGGGCCAGGACATTAGAAGCCCTCCCACTGTTGACCCCCACCCCACCCAAGCACCAAGAGGACAGAGCATCACTGGGTTTGATTCCTCATTCCTCCACATGCAGCTGCTAGGTGACCTTGGGTCAGTCACAAGTTCTCTCAGAGCTGTTCTCTCAAGGGCAGCTCTGTCAGAGCTCTCTCAGCCCCACCTACCGCACAAAGGAGATAGGAAGCTTCTCTGAGACTCCCTCGGGGAGTGAAGGGTGGGGTATAAATCCAATCTCCCCTCCCTCCCTCCCTCCCTCCCTCC